TTATGCTCACTTTCAGTTATTCGAATCTCAGAAAGCTTGTTCTCTCTTGTATTTCTTCATTGTTGTTCAAACGAGGTAACAAACGTTAGCAAGTTAAATATCCTCTGCTCGAACCGACCCTTCGCGCATCTTGTTTTATAAGAGGCATAAAATGGAGTCAAATGTGATCCTTTCTTCGCCTAAGGTTGTCTGCAACGATGTGTTATAAATTTGTTTCAACATCCGTGATCATTTAGCAGAGAGCGCGCAACTATAAAAGCAAGACAACGACGTGGTCATGATACTGTTATAATATTCGTCATGTAGGCTGGCCGATAATTGTAAAGAAATTGACCAGAATTGCAATGATTTCGATGCAATTGCATATGCTGCACCTCCCTATCATATTTTATCAAGTATTTCGAGATCGGTTAGATTGAGTTTCAAATTGAATCGTCGAATTTTTAAGATGTGTAAGTCGACGACCGTTTAGCGATATTCGCTGTATGACTGCATCCATTTTCAGAGCCCACTATTCATTTCGATTTGAGAAAGCCACAGCTTCAGAAAAGCTTTCAAATGGTTTATGCCGTACACCAATGGAGCAATCACTATGATGAGTTTCAGCGCATACGTGAAGCAAACAATGGAAGTAGCACCAGAGCAACACCATACTGGTGAAAATGGAATGGTTCTTTCCATATGACATTCTCCATAGATTCATTTAAAGACGATGGACAATAGCGCCGGTCTGCATAGAAAAATAGCTTTTTCTACTAAATGCAGATTTTTCGAAAAGTTGTATTTCTTGGCGGATTATAAAATAATGACAAAGCGAGGTTATTAAATGTCAACGTTCCATCAAATAGACTATCTCTGAGCAAACCTATATATTTTGCATGGGTCACCTGGGTGGTCTCCACTCTTCGTCTTTTCGCAACCAGAATTGAAACTACGGTGAAGTAAAATGTCGAAACTAAACTTGCTGAATTTTCAGTGCCTCTGGATTAGCTACCTGGTGTCCCATTAGCTGCAAAAATGCTTGTATTTGTACTCGCTGTTACATCTGATTTCGAGGTGTGCGATGACCATATAGTGCTCTGTGCACTAAAGATGTTTTTGCCAGTTTACTCCGAGGATTACTTATCAAACTTCTTACTTTTGACATAATTATTGAATTAAAGTTTGCATATTTATCTGTGCCACTCTGTTTAAGATAAACTAGTCTTATAGCACTGGCCAGCATTAATTTTCAAGACATCAAGAAAAGATGAACAGAACTTATTTTCTTTGTCAATAGTCAACTCAGTATTTTAAGGGAAGAGGTCATTGAGAGGGTCTAATGCTTTGTTTTCATCACCGCTTGGACAAGTGGCAAAAATAGGGTCAACATATCTTTTGAAAGCCCTTGAAAACATGTCTGGGTTTATGCTCGGACCACACTTTTAAACTGTTCTACGAAAAATTTGGCAGGAATGTGGGAAAATAAGTTGTCTTTGACTGCCCCGTCAATTTGTATGAAAAATCCACTCTCGAAGACGACATAATTCGCCTTCACATGTAAACGTTATTCATTTCATGATGGAATTTCCTGAGAGATTAGTGTACTATACTAGTAAATTGTCTGTTTGAAGTTTACTGATGGTTTCAATTCTAATGTTAGTAGCGATATTTGATGTCTTTACCATCATAAATGATGACAATACTTACTTTCTTCAGGGGATTAATTTGCTTCAGTTACGTGCAGAACTCGATGAACGTTTCAGGGCAATGGGTTTCTCTTTGTTGAGTGTCTGAGTAGTTTCTACGTTGATTTTTAGATATAAGCCAAAGGAAAATCATCGTCGGAGGGAATATTAAGTTCATAAGCAGTAAAATAAAACATTTTTATGACATTCTTCAGTGTACCTACTAATGCACGAACTACATACTAAATCTTCGGATACTTTTGGAGTTTATTAATTCTTTGTCCGTTGGATAAGTTTGAACTGTTCGTTGAATTGAGTAATCTTTTGAAGTTCTGTTGCGAACCATGTTACCAATTTTCATCCTACTGTTATGCAGTTTATAGTAAAGCTATAACTGTTGCATCCCTCTGTTGTCATGGCAAAAATGTGAAAATACTGCTGCATCATTGCCTTTTCTAAAATTAACTTTTCTTGGCTCCTTCAGTTGTTTCAATAGCGCCGTTTTTTATTTGGGGCTAACTGACTTTAATCCCCATCTAACTGCGTTTGTGCTATCGTATTTCAGAAAGACGGTCCTTGCTGTGAACTGACCAGAAACACACTGTGCTGTCCTCATCGCGCCTGTCAGCAGGAAAATTTTGAAGCAGCATTGTGGGTCAAAATTGTCTTTATGACATAGACATGCCAGTTACTGTAGAGAACAACGACAACCACCGCGCACCAATGTTCTTGTCCTGTGGAAGGTCGCTGAGATACTGCTCGAAACTTTGGTATTGGTTTATCATCCACTCTGCTCATGGTTTGCGTTCGTTTAATGAAGTTGCTTTTTATTGTTTTTCATTTGACTTCTCAAGACAAATAAAATACTCAGTTGTAGACCGCAGATTCATGTCGCAATGCTGGCGTTTGTATTTCAGGTATTTTTGCTGGGATATGTTCTTTTATACTATCTCACATTCACAAGGTAATTGGTTCTTGTAAGCTGAGATGCACTAGACCTCCTTTCATCTTCTTCATCTTCAACTTCCATCGCCGATTCTCCTTTCGGGTTGCGGAGGCAGACACGTCAGAGAGAGCTTCCGACGTTCCCTGTCCTGTGCCAGAGTCTGAGAGCTTTGGCAAAAGACAAATGGAGTCTGGAACATGCTCCTTCCATATATTTGCACCAGGTTAATCTTGGCCGTCCCCTGGGCCTTTTGCCGGTCAGATTTGCAAG